TTTCTTGAACTATCAAATGATCTGAGATTTTGAATTCTTAACAGAGTTCAGGAAAGTCTTCGGTGCTCGAAAGCATAGTCGGCAAGGATTTTTTACCTCGTGGATCCGGTAAGAATAGATTACCACATTAAATCTATCCTTCCTCGTGGATGAACATAACAAAATGATTTATATATTTATTTTTGTTTCTTTGGTTAAAAATTAATGCAGGGATTGTTACTCGGAGACCACTTGTGTTGCAGCTTCATAAGAGTGATGAAGGAAGCAGGGAGTACGCTGAGTTTCTTCACCTTCCAAGAAAACGATTCACCGATTTCGGTAAATTTCTTAATTTCCACTCTTTCAGCTTTCGTTTTTACCAAATTTTAGCATCGCCTAGACTTGGATTTTTGAACTTAATCACTCTCTGTGCTTATAGCTGCCGTTAGGAAGGAGATTCAAGATGAGACGGATAGAGAAACTGGCCGTAGCAAGCAAATCTCCAGTGTTCCAATTCATCTTAGCATATATTCTCCCAATGGTATAATCTGTTTGTAAATATTTACTCCTTTGTCTTTCGTAGGTTTTTTAGTTTTGTTTTCTCTAATTTACAAGCCTTCTTTCCTTTTAAATTTGTTGCAGTTGTCAATTTGACTCTGATTGATCTTCCTGGTCTTACGAAAGTAGCAGTTGGTAAGTTGCGGAAAAGCCTAGTAAATTTAAAGAAAATTTGAAGCCTTTATATTAGTTCTGCTGTGTGGCAGCCTAATTTAAGGCTAAAAAATGGCAACTTTGGGCTGCAACAAAAAATGTGATAAAAATCATAATATTTTAGTACGAGAGCAACCTAAAATGTTACATTTTTACTTGCATTTTCGGTTGAACTTAAAATGTTACGAAGAAGGTAATATTTTCGGTTGAGCCCAAAGTCACTGTTTTTTAGCCTTAAATTAAGCTGTCGCTCCTTAGACTTCCCCCTTTATATTGCTGAAGTATATTTCCACGGTGACCCTAATAAAAAAGGTTTAATCTTCAAATTGCATTTTTCTATCCCATTTGTAATTCAAATATATTTAGTATTTTATTTTACTATTTTATCACTTTTAAACCATATTAGCTGTTTTTGCTGCAATATGATTTATTGAATTCGTGATTAATTTGTATTGTATTAATGTATTATGTTAAATTGATGAATTATCTTGTTAAATGTAGAGGGTCAGCCGGAGAGCATTGTGCAAGATATCGAGAATATGGTTCGCTCTTATATTGAGAAGGTGAAATGCATTTGATCTTTATTGTGAGCCTTCTAGGAAAATTTATTTAAACAATATTTTAGGATACTGGGTATTTTATATGTGAGTCCTTTGAAAATCCTAGGAAATGTGGGTTGTGGATAGATCTTGCTGTAAATTGCCACTTCCTCTGTTTCTAGATAACTTTGCATTCTACATTTTTCATGATTTATGTAACAATGAAAGCTGAACATGGCTGTGCTATTTTTGTTTGTGGAACTTTTTATGCAGCCCAACTGTATAATATTAGCAATTTCACCTGCTAATCAAGATCTTGCTACATCAGACGCAATTAAAATCTCACGAGAGGTGGATCCTACAGGTATTCTTTTTCAATACTAGTTCATTCAATATTTTTTTACTTTCCATGCACCACAATGTTCCACATTCTCTACTTTCCTTAGTATTATCATGTGACCTAAGCCATGGGTGTTTTTATATTTGTGCTAAATAATATCATAAAAAGATTGCTATGATTTGTAAACTTTTTGACTTGTGGGTTCCAAGAGTTGTGGTTGCATATTTTGGATTTTCTATTTGGTAATCATTGTTATAAACCTTTCAGGGGAAAGGACACTTGGCGTGCTGACAAAAATTGATCTGATGGATAAGGGCACAGATGCAGTCGATGTAAGTTTGTGTTATGCATGATTTTTGACATACTTCAAATCTTTAGTACTGGATGCTTAAGGCATTATCATGTTCTAAGTCATGTTTCTATTGACTAGATATTGGAAGGCAAATCTTATCGGCTGAAATTCCCTTGGGTTGGTGTTGTGAACCGCTCACAAGCAGATATTAACAAGAATGTCGACATGATTGCTGCTCGCCGTAGAGAACGTGAGTATTTTGCTAGTACGACCGAGTATAGGCACCTTGCTAACAGAATGGGTTCTGAGCATCTTGCTAAGGTGCTCTCAAAGGTATGCTATTGGGCATTGTGTTATTTTTTGTTTAAACTTTTTATCCGCAGTTTTCTCTTGTAAAAGGACGAGATGGCACTGGATTCAGTGCAAACTTTCTTCAGTTTTATTAACCTTTTGCTACTGGTTAATGTCTCAGCATTTGGAAACTGTAATCAAGTCTAGAATCCCAGGCATTCAGTCCCTTATTAATAAAACAATTACCGAACTTGAAACTGAATTGAGCCGTCTTGGAAAGCCTGTTGCAGCTGATGCGGGTGTAAGTGCTCCTTCTGCTCTCTCTCTCTCTCTCTATGTATGTATGTATGTATGTGTGTGTGAGAGTGTGTGTGTATTTTGATCTGGAATATCCACTTGCAGTTGATTCATAACTTTTTTGAGAATTGCTGATGATCGGGATGCTTATACAGGGGAAGTTGTATACAATCATGGAGATTTGCCGTCTTTTTGATCAAAATTTCAGAGAACATTTGGATGGCGTGTATGTACAGCATGTCTTGTTTTTACCTATCTCTAACTTCATTAAGTTTTTGCATATTTTTGTAGAGATTCTGTTTTGACTTTCATTTCAATGTTGTTCACAGGCGTACTGGTGGTGATAAGGTTTACAATGTTTTCGACAACCAACTCCCTGCTGCTTTGAAAAGGTTGCAATTTGACAAGCAGCTATCAATGGAGAATATTAGGAAGCTCATTACTGAAGCTGATGGGTATCAACCACATTTAATAGCTCCCGAACAAGGATATCGTCGTTTGATTGAATCTACTTTAGTTACTATCAGAGGTCCAGCTGAGGCTGCTGTTGATGCGGTATGAAACAAGATTTTTGAAATATGGTATATCATATTCAATTTGGCATGCGGAGATCATCTGATTTTCCATGTTTTCCTTGGCAGTAGTTCAGTTGTGATTCTTCCCGATAAAACCTTTTTCAAAAAATGTTGATAAAAATGATATTTCTGTTGCATGTTATATCCCCTTAACTTTTTTGAATTGCGCGATGCATCGTGCTGGTCATGTTTTCTGATGCTTCAAATTGGATCGGTTTCATTTGTCACATTTTCCAGATTCATTCCATTCTGAAGGATCTGGTTCACAAGGCTATCAGTGAAACTCCGGTATGTTCTCGTCTTTGCTCATCTTATTCATGTATCCAAGAAATTCTGCCTGCTGTTTTCTTTTTCATTAAGGTGGTTGTGGGCTACAAGTTTTAACCGGTTGTTTGGTTTTCAGGAATTAAAGCAGTATCCTGCACTCAGAGCAGAGGTCGGAAATGCTGCGATCGAGTCTCTTGAAAGAATGAGGGATCAGAGCAAAAAGGCAACCCTTCAACTGGTTGATATGGAATGTTGTTACCTTACAGTTGAGTTCTTCCGAAAGCTTCCTCAAGATGTGGATAAGGGTGGCAGCGCTACACAATCTATATTTGACCGATACAACGACTCATACCTGAGGAGAATTGGTAGGTTCATATACAAAAACAAAAGTTTCTTGAAGGACATATCTCAGTGGTTTCAAATTTAATCCAACCGAACTGAAAGATCAATGTATTTTTTTCCTGATCATGGGTTTCTCTGGCAATGTATGAGCAGGAACAACAGTTTTGTCTTACGTAAATATGGTCTGCTCTACTTTGCGCCACTCCATTCCGAAGTCCATTGTTTATTGTCAAGTCCGAGAAGCGAAAAGAAGCCTGCTCGACTTTTACTACACGGAATTGGGTAAACTGGAGGTGAGAACGGCTCTTTCTTAACCAACATACCGTATTTTACTTATTTTGTTGAAGCCGATGATGAGAACTGATTGATTTCTTGGGGAAAAAAATTGTAGCAAAAACGATTATCTTCGTTATTGAACGAAGATCCAGCTATCATGGAACGAAGAAGCGCTCTTGCAAAGAGGCTGGAATTATACCGAAGTGCGCAAGCGGAGATCGATACGGTGGCTTGGTCCAAGTAAGAGATGAAATTTAGATGGATGAGGCATGGCTTTAAGGATTGCATTTTTATTTGTTGTGCATTCTACGTTTCTGTATAATCTGCAAAACAGCAAAAGGTTTGCCACTCACTCTATGTGATTATCTCTATTCATTAATCCGAGCACGAGGACGTTCATTTCGGTTGAATCTACAGTCGAATTGAATTTTGCTGAAAGAGTTATTTTCTTATTACTTAAAACAGGTAGACATAATATCAAAATTAAACCTTATCGTATACTAAAATGGTCATTTGAGCCCCTTTCTTTGGAGTTATTCATTTATTTATTTCTAATGTTTTATTTTGAGGCAAAAAGTGGATGAAAATCATTAGTTAACGGCAAACGATCTAAAATAAGAGTTTTTTAATTATAATTTTTATACGGACGCCACCTTAGTATTGTTAATAATCATACAAGTACAATGATAATTAAAAATATTTTTCATTAATTAAATAATTTAATTAGTATAACTTTCATGTATAATATAAAAAAATTTAATTAATCTGCTTGAGAAAAATCCTAATGTATATTTACCAACAAGCCTAATTTTAAATATTGAAACACATTCTATATATTTCAGAATTAAATTCATTTTGTTATTTTCATAAATAAAATGCAAAGTTCAATTGCATATCATTGATTACGATCCCAAGAGGGGAAAAAAAGAGTTAACCAACTTCCACTGGCCGCCAAATTCCAAAGCAGCAGTCTCTTGACTCTCTTCTTCAACTAAAGAAATGTTGACCACTCATATTCTTGCCATCTTTCTCGTCGTTTCCATCGTTGTTTCACAGTCCAAAGCTCTTCGATTCCCTCAAGAACTCTACAATCTTTCCTCAAATCAAATCTTCATTTTCGATAGCCCTTCAATGCCACCTTCTTCCTCCCCATTGCTATCCCCAGCAAGCCCACTGGTTTCTTCTTCCCCTCTGGTCCCTGCACTCTTCATTATCGGCGACTCAACCGTCGACTGTGGCAACAACAACTATCTTGGCACCTTTGCTCGGGCCGATCGCCCTCCTTATGGCCGTGATTTCGATACTCATCTCCCCACTGGACGCTTCTCCAATGGAAGAATCCCCGTTGATTACCTCGGTAAAAAAAACTGTGTTATCTTTCTCCATTTTCTTTCTTTTTTTTTCCTTCTTGTTTTAGGTGTTGATAATGACATTTGATTAGTTATAAATTCTGGGTTTTCTTCATTTTGGTTACTTTTTTAAATCAGCATTGTATCTCGGGCTTCCGTTCGTGCCAAGTTATCTTGGACAAACTGGAGAAATGGAGGATATGCTTCATGGAGTCAATTATGCATCTGCTGCTGGTGGTGTTATTTTCTCTAGCGGATCAGAGTTGGTATCATTTCAACTATCTCGATCGAAAATATTTAACATACTCGTATCTCACATTCACACTCGAATCCCGAGAAACATAGTTTTCTTAGGTATATATATGAGTTATTCCGATAGCCATCTACTATTTAAATCCATGATTCCATTGACTTGCGAACTAAAATTTGGATTGAAGTGCTTTACTTTCTGATGCATTTCATGTGTTATTCATACTTAAAGTTCCCTTGCTTTGAACCCGCATACATTTCATGTGTTATTGGGGGCATATTCATAGGATATGTTTTTCAAACAGGGCCAGCACATCTCATTCACCCACCAAATTCAGCAGTTTGGTGATACTTATCAGCAGTTCGTTTTAGGCCTGGGTGAGGATGTAGCCATCGATCTAATCTCGAGTTCGGTTCTTTACATTTCGATCGGGATAAACGACTATATACATTACTATTTGCGTAATGTATCAAATGTGCAAAATTTGTACCTCCCTTGGGGCTTCAACAAGTTCTTAGCGTCCACAATGAGGCAGGAAATAAAGGTGACTATTGCAGTTTTCTCTTAGTTTCATGTTTAATCCGTGTTTTTCGTCTGATATTGTCGGGAAAAAAAGTTATTTTGTTACTATTGATTTCGGACTTACCGGGAACTCGACATTTTTTGTGTTGGTAAATCAGAACTTGTACAACATTAATGTCAGGAGATTCGTCATAATGGGGTTACCGCCGATTGGCTGTGCTCCGTACTACTTGCAGCGGTACAAGAGCAACAATGGGGAATGTGTTGAAGAGATAAATGATATGATCATGGAGTTCAACTTTTTCATGAGATACATGATTGATGAGCTTCTTCATGAGCTCCCTGATGCTGGCATAATTTTCTGTGATGTGTTTCAAGGTTCCATGGATATAATTCAGAACCATAAGAGTTACGGTACGATTGATCATCCGAATCTCAAACCTTTTCTTTTGTTGTTGTTGTTGTTGTTGCATTTTTCTTGAGATTCTTGATTACAACCGAGTCTTTGGATGGTTTTTGTGGATTCTGATTCAGGTTTTGAAGAAACCGCCAATGCTTGCTGTGGGTTAGGGAGATATAACGGATGGATCATGTGCATGTCGACACAAATGGTGTGCCGTAATGCTTCGGGTCACATCTGGTGGGATCAGTTCCATCCCACTGATGCAGTGAATGCCATCCTAGCAGACAATGTGTGGAGCAGCCGCCACACTGAAATGTGCTATCCTATGAACCTGAAAAAAATGGTCTTTAGCCAAAACCTGAACAACCTCGTATAAAATCTTCGATGATGCTCGGAAAACATTCAATTCCGCTGCTAGCTGCCAGAATTTATTACCAACAAACAAAGATCGAAACTAGGATACATTACAGTCTGAATGAGAGAGATTTGTTACCAGAACTGTAGAGCTATGATACTGCTTCAACGGCGGCAAAGCAGTATGTTTCATTCATGTATGTAAAATAGATTACTCCAACATGGGACAATTGTATAAATTCTTTCCGGTTGTCCAGATCGAGTTTCCATTGATTTTTGTAATCTCTTCCAATGTGAACCATAGATATATAAGTTCAACATGAAAAACATTTGATTGAATCCTGCATGGAAAACTGAGGGTATCGATAAGTTGCAGAAGAAATAATGGATTCAAGTCTGTCATCTTTATCTGTTGCTCCTAATCCGGGACTTCGGTGTTCATTTCAAAGCTGGGAAATTGAACAGTTATTTCCCTGAAAAATAATATCCAAAAAGTAAATCTTCCATCGGATGACCGACACTGGAATCGGTAACATCAAGAAAACATAAGAATCAAGTCCTAGTTGAAGTGAATGCTCACTAACTTGAGTGATATATCAGTGATGAAAAAGGAAAAGATTTTGGATCATAAAGCAATAAGCAAGGGTTGCAAAATGAAAGAACTTAAGAGTTTAGAACACACTTCAAACATGAAAGTGTCATGATCTTTATGATCGACGGATTCTTTCTCACGAACTCCCTCCATTCTTCTTCATCGATCTTCCCATCTCTTTTCGTATCGGCTTCCATCATTGTCTGCACATATACGAGTAAGGTCTTACAAACATGCACTTCGCTCCCTTTGTTTTGCTTCCTCGATTGTGCTTTTTTGTGAAAGAACCGGCAAGGTTCACCCTTTGTCCCGGGAAGTCATAGAATGAATAACTATCAAAGCATCACCGAAGGCAGAGCCTGATTATCTACCACACCAGCAGTGGAGAGGGATCTGATCATGCCATCTCCAATCTCTGCCCTCTAATTGAGAAATTGGTCAATAAGCACTTTTGGATCAAGTCAAGACTTAGACTTATAGTAGATGTAGCTGAGTAAGGAGCTGAACTACCTTTTTGGCGCCCTAACCGTTAGCATGTCTGTCCTCGTCCCACTCCATGGATAGACATCAGTTCCATTACCGGATTCCGTTTTTTCCTTTTGTTTGCGCCTTACTGCGGCTTTGCTACTGTGCTGCTTTCTTCGGTTTCGGTTGCGATGAAGGTGCTTATAACGTTCGTCGGCAGCTAAATCCTACTTCTACTTTGGAAGAACGTTCTGTGCATGTATGCCATGCTGGATTTCATAAATCTCTTATAAGAGCTCACATCCATTTCAAGGTCGATTTGGGAACGCTTTAATTTATAAATAGTAGAAATGCAATGAAACAATACTGGTTGGACTAAGATGCAACTTACCCGAATTAAATGTGTTAAGCAAATAACAACATATCATTTCTTCGCTAAAAGTGCATTTAATGATGTAGTTTTCTCGGCAAACAATATATATCATATATAAAGATCGTAGCGTAGTGAGTTAGGAGTTCCCTCTCACATTGGTTCTAAGCGTAGATCACTTTCATCCAACTTTTTCTATTATTTTCGTATCCGTAATAGTACGAAAGGAAAGCCTGGCTCCAAGTTGTTCAAGAATAGTGGCGTTGTTGAGTTTCTCGATCCTTTTACTTGCTAACGACAGTGGGACTCCTACGGTTAATGATCTTCTTCGAAACCGACGTAAACGGGGTTACAATCTGGTAACTCCCCGGGAGAGGAAAACGAATCAATTTATTCTGGAAATAACGAAGCAAAGATAAAGTGAGCGCTCGGAACGAGTGGTAATAGGAGGGGGTCATGGAAAGGTGTAGAAGTAGATGATCGCTCACCCACTTTGTCTAACATCCCATACGAAAACTAAAGGAAAGACTGAGCAGGACTATGAGTTGGGTAATCGAGACCCTCTTGTGCTTTGCTGCCTGTTTAAGACAGTGTTCTCCGAAACGCCTGTTCGCATCGCAACTAATAGAAAAAAAACAACTACTGGTCTAGTCTAGTAGTTGGGTGCTCATTGTTGTTCGGATCTTGACCGGGTCCGAGCTTCCCAAGCTGACCACCCACCGAAGAGAAGTACACTCTTTCAGACCCTCTCGCTCACGCTCGAGATCTTAACCTAGTTTTGTTTGTACTTCATTGCAGACCCCGGTTTCAAAGAATCTCTTGAAGACAGACCCTGGCTTTGAAAAACCAGGTCTGGAGGAACCTGGAAAACCTTTTTCTCATGGAGAACGTACGCCTGGTTTTGTCAAACGACTCCTCCTTCTATCACTATTCAGCTTACCTTATTATTTATTATGAAAAGGGTTTTGAGGCCTTTCTTTTCGAAGTTCGAAGCAGGAAGATCCTGGCTAACGCTTTTCAGGTATAGGGTTCGAAAGATGGTCTTGCAGAGCCTTGAAGTGTAACTCCCTCCGTGGACCTTGGCGTTATAAAACACCTAACGGATAACGTACCCCTAGATCACTTACTACATCTTTTCTTTACTCGGTGGAGAGCACGAACTACATAATGGCTTTCACCTGAATTCTTTAGCGAAGACTGATTGATTGATCTCGTTATGGCTTCTGATATGGGTTTGGTTTGGATGCTCATGCTCCTATCTTGCTTGCTTCGGATGTTCATTTAAGTCATTTATGATTTCATTTCATACTGAAATTCTTATTGTACAAGAAAGAGTTTTCCTTTCTACCACGATGCGGTACACTGAACACCAACCCAATTTATACAGCTGGTGGGATACTATAATACCTCTCCGTCTCCGTATTTGTCCAGTTTTTCTAAGCTTACGTGCACCGTGGTTGGGATTGTAAACTATACCAATCCAATAGTAGCCCGACATCGGGAATCTATGAGTTTAAAACTGCCTGGTCAAGGTTGTACAAGGGAACAAGAAAGGGGTTTGATAAGGAGTTTGGGAATGTCCCGTTTAGTTAACAAACATCGAGTTTGGAGTCGGGGCAGCATGGATACGAGACTTTTGATTGAAGTGAAGTTTGGAATCATTGTGGTTTTTTATCTTCACATTACCAAATTGGAGAATCATCAAGGCCTTTCAGCAATTTGACGCGCCCCCTAAGCTAGACGCTTTACTTACCTGACCTCAAAGAGAATATAATGAGTTGCCTTAGCTCTTACTACGAGTTTGAATTGCTCTGTAGGATAGTAGGGCGAATGAATATACACCTCTGGATGACCGAATAACCGAAAGAGATGCTGGTATAATATGGGGTCTCCCCCTCCAGCGGGATCAGAAAAGGTCAACTCTTACCTGGACCAACAATAGCTCCCATTTTAGCTAAAGCCAATGGATTATAATATTCCATAGGCAAACTAGGAAGCCGAATCCAAATCCAAGCTATGAGTTTTTTGAAACTATCATCAACAGGATTCAAATTCGGTGACCATTGTCGAACTGTTAAATAATGTCCCCCAATTACCCAAGGACCTCCTTCAAGCACATGCTTGTTATCCTCCTTCCTTTAAAGATGGGTTCATACAGGCAGCGTGGTTACAGTAGTCAGAATTGTGCCTGTCATCCAATTTGGTGACGTATGGCGAGATTACTCTACCACTCTATAAATAGAGGCTCGATAAGTCTCTTCACTTCATCAAATATCAAAGCAAAGAAATTGAGTAATAGCACGTATGACATGTATATAACTGATATAAACATGATTTCTCAAATTGATGTCCAAATGAATAACCTGCAAAATGCAATTCAAGGGCGCTGTAGAACGCTAAACGCGCTTTTGCTAAGTGTTAGAACACAGGATCCTGCAAGAAAAGAAGCGCGCATTGCCCCTGATAGTTAGAAGACTACTCGGATTAGTATGAGGATTCATTTTCTACCAGTCCAGGGAATTTTCTTGATGTGAAAGGTCTGGAGGAAAGCCCAGGCAATAGGATAAGGTAAAATGCTCGAGGAACGAACGTAGAATGTGCCGAGGGAATAAACCGGTTAGAGATTTTCTTTCTCGTTAGATTGGAAGTGAGCAAGCAAAGACAAGTGGTAGCTAAGCAAGAGTGGTTGCGGTGATGAATAATATTGTTTTTAGACCAAACAAACAGAGGGCTTCACGCGCCTCACTGCGGTATTCACTCTTGAAATACAGGGTAAGCCAACCAGTAGAAAGAAAATCTCTAACCGGTTTATTCCCTCGGCACATCCTACGTTCGTTCCTCGAGCATTTTACCTTATCCTATCGCCTGGGCTTTCCTCCAGACCTTTCACATCAAGAAAATTCCCTGGACTGGTAGAAAAGGAATCCTCATACTAATCCGAGTGGTCTTCTAACTATCAGGGGCAATGTGCGCTTCTCTTCTAACTATCAGGGGCAATGCGCGCTTCTTTTCTTGCAGGATCCTATTTTCTAACACTTAGCAAAAGTGCGTTTAACATTCTAAGGCGCCCTTGAATTGCATTTTGCAGGTTACTCATTTGGACATCAATTTGAGAAATCCTGTTTATATCAGCTATATCCATACGTGCTATTACTCAATTTCTTTGCTTTGATATTTGATGAAGTGAAGACACTTATTGAGCCTCTATTTATAGAGTGGTAGAGTAATCTCGCCATACGTCACCGAATTGGATGTCAGGCACAATTCTGACTACTATAACCACGCTTCCTGTATGAACAAACAAACTTTGCAGAACCGTTTCACCTAATCGATCGTGGTGAAGTCAGCAATGGATTTGGCGGATCATCCACGTGGATGGCAGGCCCAATTCTGACTAGTTCTACCTTTTTTGACAAAGGGTGGGAAGACTTCGCCTTAGTATAATCGGGTAAATCACTATTAGGAGAATAAGAGAGCTTACGAAAAGGGCTATCAAACGGTTGTGACTTTCAATTGGCCTTGTCTCGCTTAACTCGTCGAGTAGTGATTATCTCGGAAGGAAGATCTGTTCGAAAGGTCTTGCCAAAAATCCGTATAATGATTAGCTCCTAGCCCCTGCTTCTTGAATTGGTGCTATCAACATATTGTTAATGGATAAAAGAAGATGAAGATGCAAATTTTGCTTGAAATTTGTTAAAAAAATATACCAATCCAAATCTTATATCACTGACGAAATTAAAAAAATTTAAATTATAGATTCAAAATTTAGAATAATACGAATAAACTATAGGTATCAATCATTTTTTTTAATTGGTGTAAGTTTAATCCTAACTTAGGAGAACATATTCAATTCTCACTCTTCCAAAAATAACGTGTGCAAATTTGAGCAATTCTTTTCATAATAGATTTAGGAAGAAGAAAGTGCTTGCACCCATACCGTTGAATGGTCAAAATAACATCTTTATAGGATTTGCCACGTCGGATAGTAACGAATCCAAAAATATCTTTTAAAATAAGCACATATATTAATAATATTTTCGTTTGAGGTGGATACAAGTAAAATTTTAGATGAACATCATTAATAAAATGAACAACTAATATAAAAAATTTAAATTTTAAGATGAACACATATCCATCGTGACCAAAACCTACATTCACCATTGACCTCGGATGTGTGTTTATTTATTTATTATGGTAAATTATCTTTTACATTTTAGTCTTTTTATGTTCTTTCATTGCCTCCTCTTAGTTCTTCATTTAGATTAAGTTCGAAGGTAAATGAGACAAAAATAAATAAATTGATTCAGCCAATTTGAATCACAAGGTTCCATGGTCTAGCGGTTAGGATATTGTACTCTTAATTAGGGGTGTGTAAAAAAATCCGATCCGACCGATTCGATCCGTTGATCCGATCTAAAAATTCGGATATCCGATCCGTTTTTTAATTTTTGGATAGTTCGGATCGGGTATCCGAAATTTTTTCCGGATTATCGAATAGGATGTGGATCGATAAAAAACCATGTTCGGATTATTCAAAAACCCGAAAAAAAAATATAGGCTATATTCGACCCAGAGTTATTTCTGTACTCTACCTTAGCGCATTTCTGTACTCCACGCTGACCCAGAGCTTTTTGTACCCTCATTTCCCTGTTTTTCATCGTCCCGTTCCCCTCGTTATCTGTCTTAGAACTTTTCGACGCCCTTCAAAGTTCCAAGTTTACTGGGTTTCCTTTTTGGTGTGATCAAATAGGCGGAGCGGAGCTGACTTGCAGAAAATAGCTCAACAAGAGCAAAAGTATTTCCCTTTCAAGATTTTAGTTGCTGCTACCAACAATTTTCACCATCATCAGAAGCTCGATGAAGGTGGTTTTGGATATGTCTATAGGGTAAGATCTAACCACTGAAACTCTTGTTTGGTTACCTAGAAAATTGAGGAATAACTTTTGCTGAACTTGGCTTGCCCTTTTATTCGCTGAATAATTATAGATTCTTTAAAGAACAATTTTTTATACTACTTTTTAGATATTCAAAGTTTGAACTTTTGCATATAAAAAACATGAAAAACAACAAATACTGGAAATGCCTCCGTTTCCCTCTTTAGATTTGTCTAATCTCAGATGCTAAGAATAAGAGTCAATGCACGAAAATTTGAAATCGAAATAGCACAAGAAACTCGACAATTTTGTTGTTAGTTCAGTTGGTTCATTAAACCTTTCTTATTTTTCTAGTTGTTAGAACTTTTACCAAACTTTACAATCTTTTTGCTCTTAAGTTGTTTTCTGGTTTCAAAATGTTGATTTCTCTTTTTAATCAACCTAGACGTTAAAGAATTTCTCGTACGTGATTATTTTTATAGGGGAAACGAGATGATGAAAGAGAGATTGTAGTGAAGAAATTATCTCATAGCTCAAATTAGGGTGAAATGGAGTTTGAATATGAATATTTTAATTTCTGTTAATTTTTTTTGAATTTTTTGCAAAAAAAAAAAAAAATCGGATTCGGATCATTATTTTAGGTATCCGAAATTTTCGAATATCTGAAAATTCAGATCGGATAATATCCGATATCCGATAATGCAAACCCCTACTCTAAATCCAGTAACCCGAGTTCAAATATCGTTGGAACCTTCTTTTTTTTATTTTATTTTAACTGATGAATTATGATACGTTTAACGTTTAACTCACTGAGTTTAGCTGACTAAATTCGTAAGGACATAGCCACTGTGATTGGTTTTTGTATGAAGTTGATTAGTGGTCAACCGTTTTGATAATGATTCGATTTCAACATTTTAATTAACCTTCTGAGTCTGGTGTTTAAGTTTTCTTGCTTTATTATATCAGAATCGAGTGTGGGTGGTGTTATTTTATAAGAAAATTGTAAACTACACAAATGATGAATGATGTTTGAGTATGTTTTCATTTTTTTCAGTCAAATTTTAAAATTAATGATTTGGTCACTAATATTATCGATTTATAACAAATCGATAGTTGATGTTAACAACTGTTAACATGTTATGTCAACAATTAAACACATGTAAAAATATCACGTCAATAACATGGGTTGATCGTTATCAAGTAACAGTTTCTATCCAATAGAGTATGCTTTAACCAAAAATTGAAACGTCGGGATCTAAAATGTTAAAAAAAAAAAGAATAAGAGATAAAGTAACCATTTATACAAATATTAAGAGTAATTTTATCATTATACCTAAAAATATTTTATTCATTAATCTGTCAACATGGTTAAAAATAATCAAGTAAAAAATTACATATCAATATTTGATATGTTAATTTATTTATGAGTCATGTTCGGGATGCAAAATTCCACTTAAACGGATAATCAACTTCTCGATTTTCCGGCTTTCTATTTTTATTTTAAATTAAATTTTTATTATTTAAAGACAACTTTCTTTCGCCTATATTCTCAAATTATTTCACCTAACTTCTTAAATCTCTATGCTTAAATTATATAATTTAGATTTCTAAATTCTTAAATTCGTTTATATCTTAGTGAGCATGTTAACGCTCAACTTATACGATCATTAATTTTTTAACAAAATAGTCGAGTTTTGAACATAATGAATCAATGGGTGATCATTTTATAATTTTTAATAGTCTATGAACTCAATTAAGTAATACTCTATAGTCGGGAGATCATTTTTTAACTTTTAATAGTTAGTAAACTGAACAAAACAATATCATATAATCGAGAGACTATTTATGTACTTTACCGGTTTACCCATAATATTATACACTTAAGAATTTAGTGTTTAATGTTGAAAAGAATTTGAAAACTATTTATAGCTACGTATTTGTTCAAATTAAGCATAAATTTCAATACATAGATAAACAAAGATTTATTGAAAATAAATCCTCGCATTACTATCAGCCAATTTTTCCTTCATAATTTGGTTGTTGAAGCATTGAAACCAACAATGGTTTTTGAAAATTTTTAATTAATCATAGCATTGTATGTACAAGAATATGCTTAAGCTACTAAGCATTTTTTTTTTCAATCAAGCTATGGTGATTTATTCTTATCAACGGCAACCTTAAACAAGCTTGACACGGCCGGCTTCTTCCGCGACACCACCCAAAACCACTTGCTCCGCCGTGGAGTCACGACAGCCGAGTTCGCCGCCGCAGCCATCCTCATCTTCTCGATCAACGCCTCGGTGTTCACTTGTTGCGACAGAATATCCTCCAGTTGCTGACTGCTGATCACCAACTTCACTTTCCAAACCCCATTCTTCTCTGACGACAACACTTCAAGGGCCGACGCCGACGAAGACGACGACGACCCACTGGAGAAATTCTCGACGAAATCGGCCGAGGACATCTTCGGCGGCTCAACCCGATCGACACGATCCACTTCGACTTTCTCAACGCCTTCTTTGTCACCATTTTTCTGAAACTTCTCCAGGGGAAGAAGATAATAAAACCCCCCATTCACCAAGCGTTCATCTTCAGGCAATGGGGTTGAAGCTTGGCCTCTTCTGCAAATACCATAACCTGGAAAACCATTTGTGATCTCACGAGCAAGTTTGGGGCCCTTGAAATCGATGATTTGGCCGGCGTCTGTTAAAACCCTGATGGAATTGGTTTCGTCGACGGCTCCCTTGAGAGAACAATTCCCCATTTGAAAGGTCAGTGTGTTTTGAGATTCAGAAGATGGTATTTAAAAGGTGGAATCTTTGGGGAAGAAGAAGTGGAAAGGAAATGGGGGGGAAGAACTTGGGAAAGAGACAAATGGGGTTTTGGTTTTCAAAATAATTTGATCGGCGCCATGTGATTAGTAGACCGTTGGTGATGGTTTATGATTTTACCAAGGGCAGAATTTTCGGTGCGATTGGTTCACGGAATGTAAGATTATCAGTGGGAATAAAAGATTATCAGGGAATAGGATTACTGGAAATGTTGTATTTTGTGTTTGGTTGGTTTAGCAGTAATATAAGATTACCGTGTTTGGTTAAAGGCATAAAAGATTATTGGAATGTATATTTGACCAAATTGTCTTTATTATATATTTGTATAATATTACAAATTATAAAATATTTATATATTTTCTTTAAAAAATTAAATTCATAATATTTATATAATTTTTTTACAAAATTAAAAATATAAAAAAGTTTAATGTAAGGGTAAAAAAAAATTTAACCCCTGAACTTCATATAAAATTTTAATTATAGATTTTTTTTTGTAAATCTAAAATAATTTAAGGATAAATTTGTAATTTAACCTTCGTATAATTTTTATTATTCAATGACAGAAGAATGATATTTTTGGAAAAAAAATAAAAATTTAAGGGTATTTTAGTCCAAAACGTCGGTAATGTTATAATACCTAAGGGCAGGGAGGTAATGACATTCCCGGTAATATACTCCAAAAAATCTACTATTGGTAATAAAACATTACCGGGAATGAGATTTCCGACCAACCAAATATGGGACCAAACACCCCCTTCAAGTTTTATACAACATGAAATGGAAAAAAAGATTTGGTTTATCAAGGGATGCTATTCGATTATTCTCAAATTCGAATTTAAATTTAGATATTTGATTTGATTTACCAATCTTAATATCATTACATGTATGGGTGAGTGTTCATTCGAGTGAGTCGAGCTAATAAGTTTTGAGTTATTGAAGATGTAAGTCTTATTTTATAATTATAACTTGATTTAAATTTTTTTCGAGTCGAAACTAATTTATAAAATTTGAGTTAAGTCGAGTCGAGTTTTCGAGTTACTGTTTAAATTTAATTGTAAATATTTATAATATTATAATTCTATTTGATTCTAATTTAAATGATTTTTTATAACTATATACGATACATATATATATATATATATATATATATATATATATATTTCTTCATATTTTTTTATATGTGATATACATTTATCATCAATAGTCGAGGGACTCGACTTAAACTTGAAAGTCAATCTACTAATTATTAAAAATTTTGAGTTATTCGAGTTGCATTTTATAATTCAACTTTGAACTTGATTTTTTTCTTCAAGTTGAGTAGTTTATGGAATTACAACTTGAAGTTAATTCGAGTCGAGTAGAATCGAAAAATTTAATTTTGAGTTGAATCGGTTTTGTTCCTCCCTAATTATATGAATATAAATTCAAATATATTAATAGATATCCAAATCATACGAAAAATATATATTTTTAATGAGTAAAATTTCATTAAAATGTAATAATGATTTCATAGGTTTGAATTCACACTTATTTAGGGACCAAAATTAGATTCGGTTTGAAAAATTAATGTTTCTTAGTGTCGAGTTATTCGAGTTGAGTTATTTAAGTTATTCTAGTCAACTTGAATTATCAAATTAGAAAATCGTCTCAGTGACCAAAAATGCCTTATAATATACGATTTTAACCAATTTTTTTTGGATTTGCCAAAATGACCAACAAAATCGCAACGCGATCCCCAGAATCGCAAATCAGTTTCCAAAATCGCAACGCGATTCTTGAAAATCGCAATGCGATAGTACAAATTCGCATTGCGATTTTCCAGAATCGCAACGCGAACACATAAATCGCAACGCGTATCCGTAAACCGCAACGTGTATCCGTAAATCGCAACGCGTATCCGTAAATCGCAATGCGTATCCGTATATCGCAACGCGTATCCGTAAATCGCAACGACAATACGTAAAATCGCAACGCGTATCCGTAAATCGCAACGCGATTTTTAAAGCGCCATTATAATCGCTACGCGTATTTTATTTTCAAATTACAAAAACGAATATTAAGACAAAATCCCGTAATCGCAACTCATAACCTAAAACCTAAAATCACAACTCAGTCCCATCTCCATCTCTCACTCTCTACGGCGAAATCCGTCCCCATCTCCGAAGATTTCCGTCCCCATCTCCGGCGAAATCCCTCACAACCATTCACGGTCAGAAATCCCTCACAATATTCAGAAATGGAAAATCAACCTCCGAGGGTTAGTTTTTTTAATTATTTTTATTTTGAAATTTTTGCATTATTGTAGGTTTTTCATATTGAAACTGATGATAAGTTTACTGGTCATTTCAATAATAGATTAACCATTTCACTTAGATTTCATTTCGCGTTACGATTCTCTCGTTGCGATTTTCATTTCGCGTTGCTATTCTCTCGTTGCGATTTTCAAGTTAGTATTTGTCTTTGTCTTTGTTCTGTCTTTTGGTTGAAGTAATGCAATCCATTCAAGTTTCAATTTGCAGAAGAGTCGCAACGAGAGAAATGAAAATCGCAACATGAAAATGACTATCTGCAACGAGAAAAATGAAAATCGCAACGAGAGAATCGCAACGCGAAATGAAAATCGCAACGAGAGAATCGCAACGCGAAACCAAAATCGCATTGCGATTTTCATTTCGCGTTGCGATTCTCTCGTTGCGATTTTCATTTCGTGTTGCGATTCTCTCGTTGCGATTTTCATTTCTCTCGTTGCGACAGTCATTCTCTCGTTGCGATTTTCATTTCAACCAAAAGACAAAACAGTGTTGCAAATTTTAGTTTCAAGAATAAACTACTACTTTTTATGTTTATTGTTTTTGGTATATCTTCACAGTGTAGTTTTGGTATATCTAACTTGGTATGTTTATTGTTTTTGTAGAAATTTTTTTCGGCTTCATTGACATTAAGGAATAAAGTTAGCCTAGCCACTACAATTGCTTCGAAGCTTTCACCTGCACAAAGACAATTGTTTGAGGAAACCTGCTTCGGGCCATGGCTGAGAGTACAGCATCCGGGTGGAGATGCTAATTTGACCCATTTGTGGCTTCAGACCATGACATCAAATCTACCCGACAGTATACAACGTGGTGAGGAAGAGATATGGTTTCATTTTCCACCAGCGTATACTTGTTTTGGGCGGAAGGAGTTCTGCTTAATCACTGGTCTATGATTCGGACACGATGATGTAGGCCGGTACACTCGTCATATCGCCCACCCATCATGGTTATCCCGGGTTTTTCCGGATGAGTCAATGGAGAAGCCGAACCTACACGTCGACGACCTGAAGAAATTGTTTAATAAGAAAGATGGTTTCACTCGGATGGATGACGTCGATGTTGTCCGAGTATGCCTTCTACTACTTGTGTATGCAGGCTTTTTAGGCATAGAGGCCATACAACCTATTCCTCGGGAGCTAATAATATTGGTAGAGGACCTGAATGCATGGAATCTGTTTCCGTGGGGTTCGTATATATGGAAAGCTACCTGGACTAAGTTGTCTACTGCCTTTGATGACCGCAAAAGTTTGCGTGGCGATGGGTCGAAATACACTTTGTCAGGCTTTGTTTGGGCCTTTAAGGTAAGAATTTCTATATAATGTTTCTAAAATTATAATTAATTATTTAACAATTACTAATTTTGTTATTATATTGTTTGTAGATTTGGATATTCGAGGCTTTCCCCAGCATGCGTACATATGCAATAAAAACGTCAAATGATATTCCCAGGGCTATTTCCTGGAAGAGGAAAAATCTGTTGGATTGGGAAGACTTAATACCATATGCGACAATAAATAATGTAAGTTAACACAAATACTTTCATATAATATATAAACAAGTTATTAATAGTAGACGTTTAACTTTGTTTGAGTTTTTATATTGTTAGGAGGCCAACATTCCATTACAAAGACTGACACCCACGGAGGAAGAGCTTGCCACTGATTGGTGGCAAGCTAGTCAGAGTTTTTTTGATGGCACGGATGATGAGCAGCATCCACTTCCTCCAATTCGAGAGCCATCACCTCACCCAGAGCCATCACCCGATCGACCCGACTATACACCTCTAGAACGAGAGCCATCACCTATCCCGTCACATCATCGAGCCTCTTCTCCACCATCACCTCATGATAGGCGACCGGTAAAGAGGCCACGACATTTATCTCCTTGTTCTCCACCTCCACGAGATGAGTTACGTGATGAGGTCAATGCCTTGCGTGAGGAGATCGGTACTCTACGCGATAACGATGGTGCATGGCGTGTGGAGGTGTCAACTTTACGTGGTGAGGTTGCCGCTCTACGTGAGATGATAGTATCGTTGCAGAATGAGGTTCATACTCTACGCAACGAGGTAAGTTTAAGATTTTCCATATTTAACTTAATGATAAATTTACTCGTAATTTCACTTAGATTAGCCATTTCACTTAGATTGCTTAGTAAATTTATTCGGTTGCTGCCAATTCTGCTAAACTAATACCCTGAAGTCAGTATTTGTCTTTGTTTTGTCTATTGGTTGAAGTAATGCAATCCATTCAAGTTTCAATTTGCAGAAGAAGAAATAGTTTACTTTCGCAACACGAAACTTAAAATCGCAATGAGAGAATCGCAACGCGAAATGAAAATCGCAACGACAGAATCGCAACGCAAAACCAAAATCGCAACGACAAAATCGCAACGCGAAACCAAAATCGCATTGCGATTTTCATTTCGCGTTGTGATTCTCTCGTTGCGATTTTCATTTCGCATTGCGATTCTGTCGTTGCGATTTTCATTTCGCGTTGCGATTTTGGTTTCGCGTTGCGATTTTGGTTTCTCGTTGCGATTCTCATTTCGCGTTGCGATTTTAAGTTTCGTGTTGCGAAAGTAAACTATTTCTTCTTCTGCAAATTGAAACTTGAATGGATTGCATTACTTCAACCAATAGACAAAACAAAGACAAATACTAACTTCAGGGTATTAGTTTGAAACATATTTTTCTTTGTTATCTGATGCATTTTGTGAACTATGATAGAATAATGACTTGGGTGAATACAATGCAAGTTTGAAACATATTTGTCTTTGTTTTCACTGTTTAAATATCATGTCTGTT